TAGCATCTCATTTTGCTCTGAATAGATGAGAAAGCAATTAATCATGTTTCTCCTATTTAGAATTAGTCCCTCCATAACCTTTGAAAAGGTTAATAATTTCCTTGAAGAACCTGCAACTTGTTTTTAATGTTAGCAACAATGAATTAGAACAATGATCCTCCAAACAAAAATTACAAACAAGCAAAAACAGATGAATCAAAATATTTAAAAATATTCACTAAAATGTCCATGGATTCTCAGGTATCCAGGTCATGGTTTTCCCAAAGGTGCTTTTTCAGAACAGTTGCCTCTTGAAAAAGCACCTTTGGGATATTCACTGAAATGTTTTTATGATGGATGGATGGATTTAAATAGTTTGCATGGATATAAATGAGGAAATTCTATGTACAGTTTATGTATGTATTTCCTATGTACACACATAAACTTCTATATTCCATATGTTGTATAACGTGAACATTTTTTTTATAAATTGAGATCAACTGACCAGCAATATCAGCAAGAAGGTCAGGAGGAAAAAGATAAAAGTATAACAAAGTAATTGATTTATTTATGCTTATTTCAGAATTTTAGGGAAGTATTTACTGAAAGAGGTAGTAGTGTACAAATTTTCAGTCAAAAGGTTCATTTCAGATTTCAGTTTATGAACTTTAACTTTCTAGCACAATAGGTTAATAAAATATGTAGTACATGTGCTTTATTTATTTATGAAGTTTAAATCCCACCTTTATTTTTGTGCAGGGAGGCATACGTAATGCTCCCTCTCCTATTTTCTTCATAATAAAAGCCCTGTATAGTGGATTGGGCTAAGAGAGTTGCTGGTTTATAGTCATCCAACCAGCTTTCAAATTAAATTACCATGTGTATAAAATTCATAAATACAAATAAGCTAATGAATTTGAAAAGCCAGTAGTGTAGGAGTTAAGATACTGGATTAGAAAATTATCAGGCATGAATGCTCATTGGTTCCCCTTTGAACCAGTCATTTTCTCTGAAGCTAACTTCTTTCTTATTGTTTGTGTTGGGAAGGGAAGGGAATGCTCTCTATATCACTGAACTATTAAAGGGCAGGCAAGATGTAATCTTAGTTATCTAAGAGTGATTTGGAGAAGTAGAAAAGGGATGATTGCATCAAGAAAAGCAGAAGAGGAAATGTGCTGGTTCAAAGTGTCATTATGGCTTTAAGTTTCATAAAAATAGTACATTTTTATTAATTTATATCTAGCTAGAAGTTAAGAGAGTGGACAACTGGTGGTTGCTCAAAATGAAGTAGGAGGTACAATTGCAAAACTTAAAAAAATATTTAACTACTACAGATAGTCCTTGCTTAACTACCCTAATTGGGACCAGCAACTCTGTTTTTAAGTGAAGTGGTTGCTGAGTGGGAAGTCATGTGACCATGATTGTGCTTTTTGGCTGAAAAGGGACAAGACTACTCAGCTTTATACCTTCAGCCTTTGCTTGCCTTCTAACTGCTCCTCCACCCCTTAAAATGCTCAAGTGTCAATTTACTGTCTTACACATATTGAAAGCAGTCTGGGGCTGGGAGTTGTGGGCATATGCTACACAAAGCGTTTACTCTCTTGAAATCCTTCTCTTTTCAGTCTCTCCACTAGGAAAGGGGGTCAAGCAAAGAAGAAATGGCCTACAGAAATTGTCTGCTTCCCCGTCACAGAATGGAGAGATTGGAGGCAAAGAGATTTGAAGAGAGTCAGCTTTTTGCTCTTCTGAACATCAAGATAAATGTGATCCTGACAGTAGTAAAAAGAGTCAGGCAAAAAAGATACTGCCTACAGAAATCACATTCTTTCTTCCACCGCCCCCACCTTGCCCCTAAGGGGACAAAAGGAAGAGAAAGAGATATTTAAGGAGACTACCATAAGCTGCCCCACAGACTTTGAGATCATTTTCTATGGTTAGAAGAGCAACAGCTTTTTTCCTTTGTCTCTAATCTCTGCTCTACAAGGGGGCGGGGGCGGATGGGGGGGACATAGGATAGTGCCCACTGAATAATGACTGAAATGGTGATCATTTGACTGAGAGATCCTGCAAAGTTTGCAAATGGTCATAAATAAAAGTATTTTCTTCAGCACTGGCATGACTTCAAAGACTTGCTGAACATACATGATCAGTAAGTGAATACTAATTGTAATCATTGTAATCTGATAATTTGGGATTTATGTACTTTCTGAGATCCATGGAAAAGTGTTTTTTTTTTCTTTAATGCAAATATCAGATGTAGATAATGCAAACAGAGCATGTTTTGCTCTTAATAAAATATGAAGTTTATTCCCATAGCCCCCAATCTAAAATTGTACTCATTAAATGATTGAAAAAAGGGTATATGTATTTGTATTTGGTATATGTACATGTATTTGTTGAGCTAGGGAATTGTGGGCTCTTTATGTTTCTAGTGCATTGTTTACATATGCATTTCTTTCTTATGCTTTTTTAAATACTTTGACCACTAAAATGTGGTTCCATTGCTTCATTGTAAAGTGTAAAAGCAAAGAAAGCTTCAGAGGGTGAGCAAGCAAGTACCATCTGCATACAAGTTTTAACATATAGGATATTACCTTACACTTAAATTGAGTTGGATTGTTTGTTCTGGCTTGGTTCTCTTATCCTTTTAGTATAAGATATTGTGTAATATTTTAAAGTTTATTGAAAAATGGATTGTTGGATGGGGTTTCTGCTTAGTAATTGACTAAAAAATAAACTGAAATTTTAGTACCTCTAAAGATTAAGAAAAGTTTTTTTGCTAGTTGCTATAAACTGAAATACTACCCTGATCAAATTTAGTAATTTGATGAAACTTAATTTTATTTGTTGGCTCAAGTCATTTGTCATATACCAAAAAGGTAATTCTATTTAACAGACTTCTCTTCTCTTCTCTTCTCTTCTCTTTTCTTCTCTTCTCTTCTCTTCTCTTCTCTTCTCTTCTCTTCTCTTCTCTTCCCTTCCCTTCCCTTCCCTTCCCTTCCCTTCCCTTCCCTCTTCTCTTTCTCCTTTCCCCTCCCTTCCTTCCTCCCCTTCTTCTCTCTCCCACCCTCTCCTCTCCCCCCTCCCCTTCCTTTCCCTCCCCTCCTCTCCTCTCCTTTTCTCTTGCAATTGGTCTAGAAGACAGCTTGTGGCATTTGTGGTATTGCTGATCATTTGTGAGCTGGAATTGCACAGTAAAGTTGGTCAAATTATGAAGATCTTTCGACATCTTTAATTTTAGAAACAAAAGGACCTCTTTTTAATCAGATATTAAGAATGGATCTCATATTTTTTCATGTCTTTTATGAAATTGGTGGCTGAATGGGAACTGAAAAATTATTAAGTGATCTGAATTAGTTTTCTTATTTTTGTAACTTCTAACAAAGTGTGACTTGTAAGAAATATGTTTTGTGATTTCATTATGTAAAGGGCAGAAGTAAAGAAACCAAATATGTAAACTATAAAAGTAAATATTGTTTAAGTATCTTGTAGACAGAAGAAAAAAATAGATTACCAAATCTCAATGTAATGGACTAATTGAGAAGGAGAGGGGTTTTTTTCTCTTTTGCATCAAAATATCTGAAAACCTAGAAGAAACAACAAATTTGTCATGGAAACATATGATGTTTCTATTTCACATAATAGAGTTTGTCACAAACAAGAGAGTAGGATTAACCTGCCATAACCTTAATCGTTCATTTTATGGAAGAAAAAGTATTCTATACATGTGGTATAGAATATGATGAAAGCATAGTATGTTTTAAGTTGTAGAGAACTTATATATTTATATGCTAATGTTTCATAAAACCTGAGCACTTAATCCAAGAAAAAGTGAGGCTTTCAACTACATGTGGATCTAGCAGGATTAATATAATGATTATTATCGTCATTATTTACCTGTACTTTGAAAACAATATGAAAAGCTAAAGGGTTTTAGAATCTTAGAATCCGTGGATATGATTTTAGATAAATTGCAAAGAGAAAAAAAATAACAATTGCACTCTTGCCCTCTTCATGCTCATGTTCATATTCTGATACCGGTATTTATCATCCACCTCCTAAACCCATCCTTAGAAAATTTGTTAAATGCTGCACTGATTTTACAGTCAACGTGTTTGTATATTATTCAATTTGTCTAGATACCTTCTGAACAATGTGTTGTTAGTGGAACTGAAATTCCAACAAGTTAGCCAGATTGCTTTTCCACTGCTATTTTTCCCCTAAAATTGAAAACATCAGTTTCCTGTCTGTCCAGTGCAAATTCTTGTATGTAATTTTAAACTGATCTTTTAGAGAGCTTCCAGAGTTATGAACAAGAGCACCCTCTTACTTTTTACAAATATCTAGTTTAATACTGTAATAAATAATGGGAGATAGCCTGTTTATAGTTTGTAATTTGGAAAACTAGTGTTTCCAAATTTGTTTAATGATAGGAAGTTGCCTACTAAGATGGAAACATTCCTAACAAATGATAGGATGTTCTGGAATTGAGTCACATTTAATCAGAAAAACAGTTTTTAACGCATCTAATTCGTTCAGTATTAGATGTTTATCATGGAATTGATGCATATTTTGTAAGAGTAATTAAGTTTGACATGCATTGAATTTATTTGAAAGTGTATTGCAACCATGATTTTGGTCAGTAGCATTCTTTTCAGTAGAAGAGGTACAGAATTTAGAAAATGCCACTGTTTCTAAATAGTTAAAATATCAAAAATAATTCTTCGAATCAGTTCAGAGATAGTCTGTTCAGAGTCAGTTCATTTCCAAAATAAATATTTGGGCTACTGGTATCACCAGCTGATATACTAACTATCAGTTGGTGTATCATTTTTATTCTTTAGCATGTATAAATTATTTATCGGTGTACATAAATTACTGCTTTTATTTAATGTGTGTAAAAAAATAATAACTAGAAACAAAAATAGAAAACCACCACTAGAAAGGCCAGAAGAGATATTGTTTGGGGAAGAAGTTAGCATTAAAGCTGTTTACCAAATCCTTGTTCCATTGTATTTCAGAACCATGGTGCTATGGAAAGGAATTTATTTTGTACTTGCACTATTTTTGGGAAGTTTTTTTGGAAGCATCTTCATGCTTGGTCCCCTACTGCCACTGATGTCTATTTCCCCAGCTTGGTATCGCTGGCTTACTGATCGTGTTGTGGCCACTTGGTTTACACTTCCAGTGGTAAGTTGATTATGTCTGTAATTTATAAACTCCTCCCCACCCCACTCCCATGTCTCCAAAATAATATATTACTTGTGGCATGCCAGATAATATCCTTTAAAGCTGTGTGTAAAATGTTTAAACAAGATTAGTATACTAGCTTTGGATTGGTGAATAAATGCCAACTATGCTAGATAAAATGTTTGGACATTGGTTGCAGAATTACTTTTTCATCACTGTCATAACTGTGAATGATCACTGTGTGAGGCAGAGTCAGTCCAGAAGGAGATTAGAATCAACTGTATCCAAAGTCTTTGAAAGATCAAGGTGATATAATATGTTAGGATGAATGTGCAGTCCCCAGCCTGTTTCTGTTAGAAGTTATCAACAAACGCAAACAGTGCTATTGGGTCCCATACCCAGAACTCAAACTAGACTGAAAGTGGTATAAATGGATCTTCCTTTTTTCAGGATTCTGGGAAGCTGTAGCATGACCACTTTCTCAGCAAGTTTCCTTAAAAAGGGAAATTAGAGCTGAAAATTGTCCAACATGGTACAGGAGTAGCTCCTCGAGCTTTCTTTAATTGTTGGTGGGGCCGCCCACTCTTTCAAGTATAATCCCTCCTCCCAAGGCTCAATAACATATTGTCTCCCAGGAAGCCTTGACTAATTAGGAGGATCATAGCTCTAAAACTTAGGAGGCCAAGTTAATAGTTCCAAAAAGCCTGTTTACTTCATTAGGACTATCAGGATCAAATTCATCCCAGATAACCAGGTTATGGAAATTTGATTGGCTGTTGAGGAACTTAGTGCCAAAGGACATAATAATATTAGCTCTTAAGCTATGCGAAGCTTTGATTCAATTATTCCTTTAAACTGATTGTTGATTCAATGCATTAAATTGGTTCCTTTGAATTATTCAACATTTCAGTGAACTTTTGCGCATGTATACTCTCACTTTTAATCTAATTGACTATTTGAATTGGCAATTTGTCTACTCCTAAGAAACAGAATATGAAATTTGCAAAATAGGGAAACATTGCCCATTTCTATTCTGAATGGGTTTGCTGTTTTTTGCAAAGTGTGTAATATTGCAGCCAGTACAAATGAAGAGGGGGGTTAGCTCATTCCTTTAACTGAAAATACCTAGAGCTTTCAGACTCCAAAGTTATATGTAAAACCTTTCCCCTTAAAGAGTATCTGCAGCAAGTATGATTGTGGAGGAGGGGTATGAAGGAAAAATGGCTCTTCTGTCTTTCATTATTTTCTAAAAATACTGTCAACAAATGAGTTCAGAAATCTGTTGCTTTATTGAGTGCCAAGTAAGATAAGCAAACTAAAATCCCAGGGGTTTAAGTTAAAAACTTTTCCATGGTGAATCTGAGGGAGGAGCCCATATAGACCATTCCCCTACAAGTTGGGACTCCTGATGGGTAGAACTGAAAAGTGAAGATACCCAACAAAACTGGGAAGTAGTGTAGGTGTAGGTAAGGCCCTCAGAATGTTACTAAATCACATCTTGAAGTAGTTCCACTCAAACAAAGAATGAAGCATACTAGGAATTGTAATTTAAATATAATAAGGAGAGCTGTTAGTCCTCCCCTTTTGCTTTTACATGTTGGGTAAGAAATACATTCCATTGGATTAAATTGTACTTTCCCCTAAAAAAGTATACATAGCTTCTATGAGTTAGCCATTTTCTACAAAGAAAAAATTGAAAATTAACTGGAAGAACATTGGACAGTAAAAGACAGTGGCTATTTCTTTGAAATAATTGTTACCCAGAATTTACTAAGAAGAGTATCAAAAAGTTCAACCATTAAAAAAAGTTTTATTCTATTTTGGAATGGAAAATACAATGATACTTGATTTGTTATACATTGTCCATAAAATCCTAAACTACATTTATTTTATTTGTGTTTTCTTCATTTAGGTAATGTGCATTATTTTATTTGAGAAATTTGATAAATAGGATTTCTGCTAACATTAGTTCAGTGAGCCTCAGTGGCTTACTGTCTGTTAGCCCCATCAAGTAGATTAGACCAAGAATCAACTCCTCAGAAGAGCTGAAGCTCTTTTTATTGAATCTACTTGTATTTTATTATTACAATTACAATCTATTGTATTCATTGTAATAATATAATGACCAGTCTAATTGTGCTATCCCTTCTCCCATTCTTATAATCATTTAATTAGGGAGGTTGTCTGTATAGGCCTCTTACACATTTTTGGCTTATTATAGACTTAAAATAATGTTTTTATCTCTCACTGCTTTGATAAAAAGATCTTGCCTTTGTCTGGGTTACCTGGCTTATTCTATACTGTCAAGTCTCCTCTCTTCAGGATACTTACCCTTTGTCTGCTCAGACAATTTTACTCCCTAGATTTTAGTTTTATCCACACCTAAATCTTGTTTTCCTCTTTTTAAAACTAATCTAGATAAGTGGTTGGTCCATTTTCTACTTTTTAAAGTCACCAGGCAGATTTGTCAGTAGAAATCTTAAGTATTCATATTAAGCCAGGTTATACAAGCTTTTTGAGCCAGTTTGTTAAAGGCATCATGCTATATATCCCGAAACCTTGGGTTCTAGTCCTGTCTTGGGCACAAAGCCAACTGGATGGCCTTGAGTCAGCATCTTTACCTAGGAATTAGGCAATGGCAAACCATTTCTGAAAATTTTTGCCAAGAAAACTGAAGGGACTTGTCTAGGCCATCTCTGAAAATCAGACATAATTGAATGAAATTTTTACAAAATGCAAGCAATAATCTAATAGTAAAACTTTTAATGTGTAAAAGGTAACGGTTTTCCTTGCATATACTTGCTAGTTGTTCCCGACTCTAGGGGAGGGTGCTCATCTCCGTTTCAAAACCAAAGAGCCAGTGCTGTTCAAAGATGTCTCCATGGTCATATGGCCGGCATGACTAAATGCCGAAGGTGCACGGAATGTTGTTACCTTCCCACCAAAGTGGTCCCTATTTTTCTACTTGCATTTTTACATGCTTTAAAATTGCTAGGTTGGCAGAAGCTGGGACAAGTAACGGGAGCTCACTCACGCAATGCTAGGGATTCGAACCACTGAACTGCCAACCTTTCTGATCAACAAGCTCAGCATTTTAGCCACCACATCCCCTATTTTAATTTTAATATTTTATTTTAACATGGAGATAAATCAATGTTTGTAAAACATGGCTTTATATAAACACAGACTCTTTTCTTCCTAAGTGTAGGATTTATTTGTCTCCCTAAGTAATAATAGCCTTTAGAAGACTCAACAATATGCAATTTTCTGTCATCTCCAAATGGATTCTAAATGTCTAATACATCAAATGTACATTAGATACTTCTGGATTCCATTATATTTGTTTATCTTGCTCTTGCCTAAAAGCCTGCAAAGTATTTAGCATCTGTCCCACCCCACAATGTCACTAGCGTTCTCATCCTGTGCATTCTTTAATCCAAGCCAGAGGAAGACTGATGTAGGAAAACCACAGAACTCCTAAGTAAGAGCCCCTGGAAGTCATAGACAACCCAGCAGCATGGCACAAAGCCACAGTGCCTGGGGACCTCAGCCACTCTGACCACATTGCACTCACAGTCTCCTGTCACCCTGTGTTTGTCACTGCAACTGACCTTTAATCTTCTTGCTCCAACTACTGATGAGGTGTGCCCATTCTGGCACTTCATAATGGAGCTGCTGGCCATGCAAGGCCATCTTCCCCAGGTCTTGCAAGGAAACCACTGTGTGTGACCTTGGGAAGAAAGCCTCGGAGAGCCAGCAGTTGCATTGAGAAAGATCATTTTGGTCAGATATGGTGTTGGGGGTCTGCAAAGTACAGGAAGGCACAATGGCACAGATGGAGGGGTAAGAATACATGGGAAGGGGACATTGAAGTGTTCTTGTGGCTGTAAATGTAGGGCATGCTGCCAAACATCTGAATTTTGATCACATGACAATAGGGGCACTGCAGTGACAGAATCTTTGTAGACCAGTTGCAAGTCCTTTTGTTCAGCATCAGTGTAACTTTGAACTGTTACTGAAGAAATGGTTGTAATTTGAAAATTGCCAGTATAAAAATATGGTGGCAAACTGCCATATCATCAAAATATAACTTCCCATTTTCTTTTCAAAAGGAAAGCAAGAGAAAAAAATGTTTTAAAATATCCAATATTTTCCAAAGCTTTTTACTGAGGTCTGCAAAGTAGTATCTCCCAGAATAGTCCTTGGTCATTGGCTGCCCAAACAATGCCTACTTAACTACCGTACTTTCTGGATTATGGCTCTGCCACAAGCACCAACTCAGTGCAGTGCAAAAAGGTTCATGTGAAAATGATGTTCACGATTTTATTACTAAATATGTCTAATTTGAAACAGTATGTCTGTTTTCTGTTTCTTTTACAACATAACTAAAGCTGCTTTCAGACCATGTGGTGATTCAGTAAGACACGGTTTCAGTGTTTAGCAAGTAAGGATTGCCCCACAGTTCTCCAACATTTTCTTTCATCCTCTTCTGTGGTTGAACAATATGCCAACCCTCAAATTAAGCTAAGTTTCCACTGGAGTTTGAAGAAATACTGAAAATTATTGATTTACTCCTTTAGACTATAACTCCCATATGTATCAACAATCCCTTAAATAGAGGTTGAAAAATTAACTTCTCCCACGTTTCTGTCTACAAGTATCTTGTGTACTTATTGTTCCTTTCTTTTGTAGCCTAGAGCAGGATTAGGCAATTTTTTTGGCTAGTGGAGAGCTTTAGAATTTTAAAAACTTCTTTGGGTACTCTCACAAAGTGGTTGCCTTGGGAACAAATCCAGTTATAAAACATATATACCAAGGCAAATTGGTCTCTGTGATTCTCTGTACCCCAGTTTAACTTTCTTTTTTGCTGGGCTCGATACTTGCTTGGTGTTCTAAAAAGATTTTTGGAGGCTTCTGGGAGGCCTGTATTATAAAACAGAAACTTGAAATGGTTTATAAAAACTATAAAAACACCCCCAAAATTACAGCAAAATACAACAGGTGTAAAAGCAGAATAAAATGAATTCATTATATAAACTTTCTTTTAAATGTGTATGAAAATACAGGAAGCATTTTAAGAACCTGTTTGAATATTTTTTTAATATACAAAATAAAAATAAAGTCAGATGGAGACCTGTAAATACCAGGGAGACATCTGTGGATATTGTAGTCCTTGTTACATAAAATTCAAGTTCAGAACCGGATAAAACTTTTTTTACTTGTTTAGATTTTATCCCATCTTTTTTTATGAAGAACTCTAGGTAGCAAGCATACTTAATATTCCTCCTTCCTCTTATTTTCCCTACAACAATCTGGAGGTGAATAGGGCTGAGAGTCACTGTCCCAAAGCCACCCATCTGGTTTTTCATGCCTAAAACAGAACTAGAACTCACATCCTCTGAATTAGAGTAACACTTTATTCAGATCAGTTATCTCCAGTGATACAGAATCTGTACATAAAACTTTTGAAGTAAAAGTATTGACCAAAGCATTTGCTGATATATTAGGTTCACCTTGCATAGTCATGCAGTTGCTATTATATTCATTTATGCAGTTATATTATTGTGAAAAGTTTTTTTTTCAAATTCTTCAGGTTAATTATAATTTTTGAAAGAAAAAAAAACTCTATTTGTGGAGATAAGCATAGACTAGTCGAAGGTTTTAGTGCAATGTAATGGATTTTTAAAAAAATTTAATCAGTGTTAATATTTGCTCTGAGATATTTAGCTCATTTGTAGGATGGTCATATAATATTTTAGTTTTTTTATCTAGGCCCTGCTGGAGATAGTGTTTGGGTCAAAAGTAGTCATAACAGGTGATGGATTCATCCCCGGAGAAAGAAGTGTCATAATCATGAATCATCGAACACGAATGGATTGGATGTTTTTATGGAGTTGTTTGCTGAGATATAGCTACCTCCGACTTGAAAAAATCTGCCTCAAATCTACTCTCAAAGTCATTCCGGGATTTGGTAGGTTATTGATTGATTTACTTATAATATTCTAAAATATGTTATTTTTGTTAACTGCCCTGAGGGCCTCTGGAGCCAAGGACTTCAAATTCTATTTTGTCTTGTCTTATAATTAGAAAGAACAGAACCCAAGTTAGATTACAAATAGGCAGTACTTTCAGATATGGCAAAGGTATCGACAACTACAAGTTATATGGGGCAATTATCAAAACATTGCTTTTATTTTGTTTTATCTTTAATGTAATTTCACATCATGTCTAGCTTGTGTAATATATATATTGTTATCTTTTTCAAAACTAATAAGTAGATCTGGTTGTTTTTAAATAGAATTACATTGTCCTGGGCTTGTTGGATGGTTTTTCCAGAGAATTAGCTGCTATTTGATGAAGAGAAGGTAGCACAATGAGTGTGGTGCCCAAGGAAAAGAGGCCAAAGAGTTCCTGGTTGATTGAAGATGTAACACAATGTGCCAATGACAGTGTAATAGGTTATGGTACCTTTAGTGTGAAAACTGTTGATGGTGACATGGGAGCAAATAAGGATGCCCTTTCCTAAAAATCCACAGCAATAGCTATAACAGCCCTCAGACAGAGTCACCAGCAACTCAAAGTGGTGTCAATGTGAAGAGGCATGTATGTGCCCAGCCACAGAACAAGTACCTGAGAGCTAAAGAATTTTCCCTCACCTATTGAGAGAAAGTAAAGAATGTCAACACTCGATAAATAATTAAGGCTAATTAAGGGAGAGAAGGGGTAAAAGGTTAATTGAACAAAGACAGAAATATAAGAAAAGAAACATAGGAACAAAGATAAAGCAATTTGGAATGTGAGAATAGTATAGAAATACATGTTTATTAGGATAGAATAGATATGAAGATGGGTTGTGCAATAAAATCCTTGTAAATAGGAGTCTACATACTGTTCAAAGACTGAAGCAACACAATTTATTTTGCAACCGTCCATTTATAGTTAAAGTGATTTCCCAACCAGGAATTTTGTATTTTTGCTTGAATTTGTCATTATACTTGTACTTACCTTTACCATCATATCCATAATTCTTCAGAGGGAGGTCTGTTGTTATAACGTGCAAGCCAGTATCTGAATAGGGTCAAAGATTTTGTATGTGTGTGTGTGTGTGTCCTGTGTCCCTTTAAACCTGGTATAAATAGCTTGTGGTTTGCTTTGTGGATTGTAGGTGATGACCTTTTTAAGTGAGATCAACAGTGTCATATGATGTCTTCCAGCAATTCTATCAGGAACTGTCAGACTTAGAGTTTAACTCTAAGAGAGTTATTTATGCTGTGAATTAGCTTTGAGTCCACATGCTGGAAAATGTTTCTTATAATGTTATCATTTTTACTGAATTGTTTATACCAGAAATATGGATATCGAATTTTTTTTTTTTTGCAATGTGAATTTTAATGCTGATTCAGATAAGGGGGAAGAGCATGAGTTTTATAGAAATGGGAAATAAGATAGTTTTGCAGTTATCTAATTTGATAATTAATCAAGTCTAAATCTCAATCCAGTTTTTTCAGCAAAATCTTTGTTAGAAAAAATAGCCCCAATAGCAACGTCAATGGAACAAAACTCATTTAAATCACGATTTCATTTTAAGTATTTTGATAACATTTCTTCTGGTTTCCCTCTTGGTTGTTGCAATCCAGCATTGAAGTTTGACCTAGAACTGATTGCACAGCCACTTCCCCCAAAATTGTGTGTATGTGTAATTTTTGATTTTCAGAAATATTCATGAAATAAGCTTCTTTTGCCTCATCAGCACTATAGTGATACAAAACCTGATCTGTAGACCAATCTCTTATGTTTTATAACAATGTCCCCAGCCTCTGGTCCAGGCTGTGGCCCATTGGAAACCGGTCTGGGCAAGCAGTGGGCAAGTGTGTGAAGCTGCATTTGCACAAGTGGCATATGCACATACGGAACCATCTCCTCTCCTTTCCCTCTTCTGCCAGAAATATCAAGTATCTGGCTGTTTTATTATAAAAAAACAATTGAAATTTGATGAAACACAAGATCATCTTGTAGTACCAATACATCCTGAGGGTACCAAATTGGAAAAAACTTTGCTCAGTTATTAGTAACAAGAGAAATGGTTAATGGTAAATAGTGCAGAAGTCTATTAATAGAAAACAGAATTTGGAAAGGGTTGATATGGTTCTGCTATTTTTTGCAATTTTTAAAACAATAATTAAAATATATATGTTAGGTCTATATTTAATATCTAATTCTCTAATGTGCTAACACACATGTATATTTCATAATGTTGAAGGGTTTTATGTTTAAACTCATTTCAGAAGGAAAATAGAAGTAATGGCATGCATTTTTTGTAAACTTTGACAGTTTGGTTAGACATCTGTTTCCTCTTAAAAATCATCCTTAAGGAACAAAATGTAGAATTTATACCAGTAGAAATATAAGTTTCTAATTAGCCCTTAACATCAGCAGAATGGGAAAGGGGGATCGTTTTTTCCTGTACCCCCTTCAAAGTCTCCTTAAAAATAGATTATGAAACATTTTCTTAAAATAATTTATAAGAAGAAATTTCCATTCTTTGGGATCAAGCCATTGTTACTGCAATATTTTATTGTATGAATGAAGATCTGACTTTAAAAAGAAACAGTTAACACAAGTCTTGCTTTTCCACAAGTTTTAACATATTTCAAATCTTTGTTTTTAATATAATCATAGATACTATGATTTTTTTTACTAATAAATATGTTGAGTTCTTATATTAAACCATCTTTGTATATTTTGGGAACCTAAATCATGTTCAGGCACCATCCAAATAAATAACTAATTCAGTGTTTAAAAAATTCTTCAAATTTGTTTTAGGTTGGGCCATGCAGGTTGCTGCCTTCATTTTCATTCAGAGGAAATGGGAAGAAGACAAACATCATTTTGGAAATATGCTGGATTATTTTTGTGATATCCATGAACCACTACAGCTTCTCATTTTTCCTGAAGGAACTGATCTCACAGGTACATCAGGGTTACTTAATTTAATGTTCCACATTCATTCTTAGAATGTGTTGGCAAGCAAAATAATGCTATATAATGTGAAGTAAAGAGTAGTCCTTTCACATCTCTGTGCTTAGTAATGACTAGAATAAATAAGTAAAGTTAAATGTTTACTTTTGCTTGTATTAAATAAATAGCAAAAAATATTTTTGTAAATCTGATAATAGAATTAGAATATTTATGATGAGGCATATCTAAGATCTTTTTGGCATGATTTTATATCATACTAAGTTGTTTTATGTATAATTTTCTGTTTTATATAGATTTAAAATGTTTAAAGTGAAAAAAAGTAACATTTTATCTTCAGTTTTTATTTTTTGTCTTATTTTATTAGTTTTTCAGGCATTGTTAGTTGTTTTTCATACTTTTAAGGATGGTGATAATATTACTCCATTTAAGTATAGGAAAAGAAACATGAAACTTGTTTTGAAGAATTCTGTTGTTTGGTTTGATTTGGTTTTTAATGTTAATATACTGAATAGTGAAGATTGTACTTCCTCACAAATCTTGACATGTATCATAGGTCTTTGCTAGTGCTGTTTCTCATTATATTCTTTCTGGATACATAATGTCCCAAACATTTCCTGTTCATAAAAAGCATACTAACAAAATTTAGTCTCTGAACTTAACCTAGAGCTTTCATTCCTCCTGTTGGATTTGCAAGAGGCAACCTGGTAGGCTGTTTGAAAGATTGGTTTTTTCGTAAAAACAAACAAACCACAATCTGTGCTTCTTGGTTAATGGAAATTAATATCTAAGTTTGCAAGATTTTCTCACGTACTGCTTATCAGTATGGAGTCCTAGATTCCTGCTTGCTGTGCTTCATTGCCTATTCATTCTTAATGAAAAGCAGAAATAACGTCTATTGAATATAACACTGGGGTCCTGGATCAGTAATCCTAGAAGACTTAATAAATAGATTCTAGGTCAGTGGTGGCTAACCTTTTTCATCTCCCGTGCCGAAAATAGCATGTGCACTTGTGTACCAGCACCCAGAAGGCAATGTGCATGGCCCCCACATGCCCCCACATGGCCCCTGCACATGCACACGTGACCCCTCCATACGCACCACATATCTCTGCTCATGTGCGTGCATCTCCCCTGCCCTCCCCAGGCATGCACGCCAGATACCCAACAATCAGCTGTCAGGCAGGTGGCAGTGGGGCTCTTCCAGGCAATCTCTCGCATACCGGCAGAAGTAGCTCTGCATGCCACTTCTGGCATGCATGCCATAGGTTTGCCATCACGGTTCTAGGTGTTGTTGCTGATTCAGCCTTTGGACTGGGTCTGCAATTTTTGAAACCCTTTTGACCTAAGGCATACCATGACTAGCTCTCTCCTGACAGTTGTATTCTGTATTTTAAGAATTGGACTTCGGGAGTATAGCTTATCTATGTTTATGTAAGAAAGTGACAGAAGTATTTTGTAATGATTTTTATTGAAATAAATGCATTCTATTATAAGGTCTTTGATTCTTTATTCTAGTGATGTTCTCTGTAATGCTGAAATTTAAGGCATTTTGTCTTTCCTACTATTTTTCTTTGTAGATGAAACTAAAGCCCGTAGTGATACATTTGCTGAAAAAAATGGACTTCAGAAGTATGAATATGTCTTGCACCCAAGAACTACAGGCTTCACTTTTATAGTGGATCGTTTAAGAGATGGTAATGCATGTTCAGATGCATTTTCTTCCTTTCTTTTCAAAATAATGTATTTTAGATAAGAAATGTTGGTGGTGGCTAATTACTTTGAACCATTGCTCTAAAATATCTTTTAAAAAGGTTTGTGTGTTTCAATAGATTTCCTTCCTTATTTATTCAGGGAAACTTTTTCCATGCTTAAAATAGGAAGTAATTTGATCACTTCCAATTAAATTGCCAGCATTGTGTCATATTAAATTGCTTCCATTTTCTATGTGAATTTTGCATTCTGAAGTAAGGAAATACATACAATTAAGTTTGGTATTGAGGCAGAATATACTTTTGTAGGTTTTGCTGCAGTTTGCTGCCCTATCAGATTGTTATAATGTCAAAACAGTATTACTAAAATTATCCACAACATAAAGTAAGAATTCAAATCATTTATAGCCTCTTTGGTGAAGTGAGCTATAAAAGCAACTTAATGTCAAGGTTCCGACTAACGATCCCAGGCAAATCAGAACTCTGAGGCCACTCATTTCCTCAAAAAACTTCTTTATTAGGGACATTATATTGGCATGCTTAGTGGAAAACTAATTCTGAATCTTCCCCTTGGTTTTAACATAATTAAAGCTAGGAATAACCCCTTCTCCAAGTGTCACTGGTCATGTTGGCCAATTAGGTTAATCCTCAGGCACTATTCTCCTCCTCCCATTGTGTGGAAGATGACCTTGGCTCCCACAAGAAAGATCTATGTTGTGTCTAGCAAGGCTTTCCAACCTGCACCTCCTTCCTGTACTGTGTGACAATGATGAACTAGGAAAATGGCTTCTGCCAGGTTTAGTTTGGCGTTGACACTTACAGTAACTGGTCACTTACGTTTTCTAGATTATTGGCAACTATGTGCTAGATGAAGATTGAATCAATTTTGATGATGCCCCAGAATGTTTTGTCCATTTTGCCATGAACTTGCAATACTCTGACAGAAGGCATTAGTGTTTCTCTATTTCTGTTGGTAATGGGAAAAAGAGATACTCAGCAATCATTAAGACATAGCGGGAAGCATTGTTGCTAGTACTAGCAAGGAACTAGTGTTCTCAAAGAGAATTGAGGAGCAGTAGAGTCTTGCAGTCTGGGAGGAAGATTCAAAGGTGGAACCTTTGTTTTTAGGTCAAGGACTTCACTTAAATTTAATTGATACAATTTCCCATATGGCAAATGCTTTTCATATTTTGTCAGATTAAATATTGGGAGTCATGCTGTAGTTATTTAAAATGTATTTAATCTCTTCCAACTCTTCGCAATCCAGTGGACATCATTTCACCATCATGTGTCAGTGACTGTTATTTGACTTCTTAAAGGTTCATAACTTACATAAATTTGTGCAAGCTTTTTTTAAGTACAGTGTAGGCATTATGTATTCTGTTAGTCTCTTTTCCAATGATCTTTGGTGTTTCTAAATGTTCTAAAACACTTCTCTAGTATCTGTGTCTTCTTATGATGCATTCAAAATATCTTACTATTTTGCTTCATTATAAGTGCTTAAAATGAGCAGTCTTCATCTAGGATTGCATTAATCATTTTTTTTTCATTCATTTTTATTGGACTATTTTTAATCAATGTACTCCAGCATCACAGTTTAAAGATATAAGTTTGTTTTCATTTAGTTTTCATAGCCATGTCTAGTTCTAACATAGTTTTTCCCCCGGTTGAGATGCCTTTTTATATCATTATTATAGTGAAAATTTAAGTCTAAAGTCTTTACTACTGCAGGTTCTTCTCTGCTATTTACATTGGAATTGCGTGTTGACATAATCTTAAAGTCTGTTTTTTTAATACAGAGCAGCAGGCTGGCTTTTTAATCTCTTTCACCTTCAACAAGAAATTCCTTAAGTCTTCTCCATTTCTAGCCATCTAGCCATCTAAACATTATTACCAGAATGTCTGAGATTGACACTTCATCAAATATATTTAGTTCCAGTTATTCCTTTTACTCATCATTTCCCATAGTGTATTCTGTCTGTAAGTTAAGTAAATTGGGTGACAGTATATGGAACTTTAATGTACATGTTTTCCTCTTTTTGAGTTATTTAAATGATATGTATACAATTCCAATCATTATTTCCTGATTGTCATACACATTTTTCTATAGGCAGATAGGGTGGGAAGTGTTTAAGTGTAATCCTGTTTATTTATTTGAACTTGGGTCTGCCTGACTGTGAACTCTGGATGGATTTCAATGTAATAAACCAATACAAAACAAGTTGTGGCTACAGTTGCTTAGTACAAAAATAGAGCCAAGGCAAAGACCTTACTGTGTTTACAGAGTAAAAAAATATTAGTATATTTAATGCAGCAAAAATGTATGTATTTTGGAAGTTGACTTGCTTTTCCATTATTCATCATATGTTAGCAATGAGATCATGAATGCCTTTTCCTCTTCTGAATCAGAGCCCTTATGGGAAGATAGTTGATTCATATTCTCTTTTCCCAAAGTGTCTTGAGTACATTTTTATTACATGAAGTTTATTGAGGTATCTGCTGCATGCAAGACAGTACAACTAATCAAGCTTTTGTTTACATATATGAATATCCTCTCTTTCTTGAAATGTATGATGTAGCTAAAATTCTGGTTAGTATCATTACATGGCATAAACTTCCATTTGTTTCAGTGGGATAATGTCAGTTTATTTATTAAGGAACATGTCTGCACTGGATCTTCTCTATCTAAGCTACATAAAGAAATGATGTTCACTATAGCTCCACGAAATGGAAAAGTTTCAATGGAGACAGATTTCCATGTATTATCTTCTGCTCTTTCAAAAAGGAAAATGAATGGAAAATCAGTCAAGCAGATGTTGGAATGGTAGCCATCATATCACTACTGATTGAATGGGAATTTTTAAATTTAGGTTATTATGAAACTTTTAATATCATGGCAGATCCCATGTACAAGAACGATAACCTTAAGTGTCTCATGGTTTTCTGTGAATAAAGTTTAGCTCATGACAGTTTTCCGATCCTTGGGCTGATGTCCATTCTCTTCAGGAATATATGTGCATTATGTTACTTCAAAAATAGTTCTGTGCAGAAGGGGGAAAATGTCATGTGGGGAGAAATAAATATCTCTAAATGGATAGATCGTATACAAGGAAATTAAGGTTATAAATTACTATGCATATGAGAGTATTCTAGGATGGAATTGGAAGTGACCAATTCAGTATTCTAAAAGACCAAATGGACAAGTGCTTTTTATATGCAAAAAAAAAGTAAAGTTGAAAGGTAGAAGGAAAAACTGTACCTTCATCCAATGAGAAATGGGCAATTTGTGCTGTGCCTATTAATGATAATACTGGTATCTCCTTCAGCTCCAATAGTGATTGTTGAATCTGTTTTACCTGTTGCCTCTACTAACTAGATGTGGTATCATTATTCCATAATGTCATCAAAAGTTTAATTCCTTAAAACTTCTCAAAAATTAATTTTATTTGTCAAGAGCTATATTTAATTTGTATTATAATATGTTGTTTGGTTGAATTACCCGTTGTGATAGAAATGACTCTATTACATGAACCATTAAAATGCTGAGGAAAGATTTGAATATGAGAATCAATTTGTGAAAAACTTATATTTGTTGTGCCGCAAGCTAGCAAAAACCTAAATGTTCCCTAAGTTAAAATATGATACTTTACTTCCTAATGCTTAATCTATAGGTAGTCCTCCAATTATAGCTACAATTAGGACTGGAATCTTGGTCATTGACCCAAGTGTCATTAAGTGAAATATCATGCAACTGCTTACCTTAACAACCACAGTTCTAGCATTCCAAATTGTGGACATTAAGTGATCTTGCAGGTTGCTAAGTGGCAGAATTCCAGATAAGGAGTATAGGATGCCTTAGGAGAATAGGGAGGACCAAACACAGACCATATATGAGTATCTCTCCACTCAGGAGTGGAAAATGGTTCCTGCCATAAATCAAATGGGATTTTCAGTCCCAGAGGGAAGAGACATTCACAGCTTACACTAGGTCTCCCAGGGCCTCCCCCATTCCCCTGAGTGTCTATGGAGATTCTCAATAACCCAGACCACTCAGAGTCCCATTCAGAGTGGAAATGACTGGATGACTGCAAAGAATATAAACCCTTCCACTCCCCACCGGTTAGTTAGAACTGAAAAAGCTTCTTAGATGAGAAGCAAAAAGTTTTCAAAGGAAAAAAACCAAGAAAATCCAGTTGCCTTTTGAGGAAAAGAAAAGCATCTTTAGGACATTCCCCTGAGATATCCTGTGTTCCTTACCTTACTAAACTGTCTCTCTGTTCAGGCTGAAAATCCTGCTTGTCTCTGGGGACTGGTTGAAACAACTGCTTGCCAAAGGATTTTAACACCCTGTATGCTTGGATTTTGGCAGTCCAAATAGATTCAGCAAATCCCACCAATTTCGGCAATCTAAGCAGGATTCAGCAAATCCAATCAGCTTTGACATTTCAAGGTAGGTAAGAAGCTAAAATCCTTTGACAGGCAATTCTTTAACTCTGAGATTGGCTGAAAGAGCTGCCAGCTGAAGAATTTCAATTCCATTCCTGCTTTGATTTTGGCAGTCAAACCAATTTTGACAATTGGATTCAGCCATTTTTGCAATCAAGGCAGCATGAACTTAAAATTCTCAACAGATAGCTCTTTTACTCTGGGACCAGCCTGAAAGAGTTACCTGCCAAAGATTTCAGCTCATGCCTACTTGGATTGCCAGAATCAAAACAGAAACAGAGCTGAAATCCTTTGACAGCCAGTCTCCAGAGATGAGAGGGAATGTTCTTGGCAAGCAGCAGAAATGTGTAGCCTTCCCTTCCCCCATTGACTTGGGGACCCAGCAGAGAAGATTGCAAATGATGATTATAAGGCACTTGGCAACTAGTTGTTAGTCTGAATATTTTGCCACCAACCCAGATCGTGAGCATGTGACCACAGGTTGGTAGTGCTATGTTTTGTAATTATCAGAAGTTGTAGGCTGTAAAGCCCAGACAAGC